CCAGTCCAAGCTAGAGCGTGTTGCTGAGTGATGGCCTGATGCCTGCTCCATGAGTTTTCTTTCAAGCCTGCCTTTTATAGGAACTCTGCTTCCCTTCCTCCATTTTTTTTTTGGGGGGGGGGTTGGGTTATAAATTACATACAATAAAATGCACAAATCTTGTTTATAGGTCAATACATTTTTAGATATGTAAGCCATGTAAGTCATAGAACATTTCCATGGCTCTAGAAGGTCTCTTTGAGATTTTCAATTAATAACCACCTAACTCCTGCCAGAGGTAAGCACTATGCTATGACTATAGATTAGTTTTCCCTGTTCTCCCAGCATTTCGTCTTCAGAGTCATCCATTTTACAAACAAAAAAAGACAAGTGAGTTGGTCTTTCTAATCTGGTCCAACCCGAATATCACCAGCACTCTAAATGGGAATGGCAGGGAGGCTTGCAGGGTTGTCTCACTCTAAACCTCTCATGTCCTCCTTGAACTGGGTGCAGACATGGACACGAAGTCACATGTGCAACATGGACAGAACGCACCTCCACAATGAACAGTATCATGGCTCCTTGAAAGTAAAGGATCCAAATATAAACTTGACTTTTCACTGTCTAGATATTTGATATTAAGCAAAAAATATAAATATATATATATAATAATAAAATAAAAAAAATTTTGGTGATAATAGGATTGTAATTATGTTTTTAAAAGATAGAGTTGGCATCTTTTGGAGATCCATACACATGTGGGATTGGGGTGGGGCGGGAGTGGTGGAAGTATAGATAAAACAAGATCAGCCATATGTTGATAATGATTGAAGCTTGATGGGTATGTTTATGTACATTAAACAATTCTACTTTGAATATGTTTTAAAATTTCCATGAAGACAAAAGAGACTCAAGTTTTCTTTCAATTAAATATCCACGGAGATGTTCTCCTGAAATAGGGCACAGGGTGAGTGACTTTTAAGACCACCCTAGGAGGGGTGACATTAGCACCCTCAGACTTCTATGTGAATCATGGTGGACACCCTGAGCAGATGCTTCAGGTCAGTCTCTCGTTCTCAGCCCTCCCAAGGCTTCTCTCTCACAATAGGGCCAGAGTACCTGCGTGGAACAGAATGTACCCTTCTCCCACCTCATTCCCTACTGTGACTCACAGAGCAGCTGTCAGGCTGGGCTCCTTACTGTTCTTGAGCATCCATCTTGAGTACACTCTGGGGCTAGGACCCTTGTGCTGGAAGGTTTCTCCCCTTACCTGATATTCCCATGGCTCACTCCCAGTTTTCAAATGGTCACCTCCTGAAGGAGTCCTTCCTTGACCAATCACACTAATACCTATTCTCCCCATAACTGTCCAAGCCCTTTTCTTTTTCTTTACAGCACTTATTACTGTCTGATACCATTTAATGTATTTATCTTTCTATACTGTCTGCTTTGCTAAAGATGAGCTCCATGAGAGCAGGAACTTGGTTCATTTCATTCTTATATCTCCAGCACACAGGACGGTGCCTGCCATGTAGTAGATGTGTAAGAAATACTTGAATGAATAAACATACAGGCTGCTGAGCCAAGCTAGTCTCCAGGCTGTTTGTCCTGGGGCTGAGAGAAGGGAAAACTGTTGCTTACGGTTTACTCTTGAGCCAACCAAAGACAAGCTAAGTACCACTTTGTGAGCCAATGAACACAGGTAGAGGTGGGTGTAGAATTAAACTAACTCCGTCCAGAGGAGCAGAAACTAGGCCCCAGGGTAATCTGAGCAGCAAGGCAGCAACTGGTCCCTTTGTTAAAGTGAGAGTGATACTCCATTGTTAAAGCCAGAAATCCTTGAAATGATTATGATCTGATAGGGCAGCAGCCTCCAGCAGCCTCCCTAACCACCTGCTGTCCTGAGCATTATATTCAAGAACTTTGAGGATTACCCTCTTCTTTAACAGACTTAAGTTGCTTGACAACCAACTTCATGAGGCCTCTGTGCCTAACAGACTCCTGAGAAAGAACCCCATCAAGGTGCCTGTTCTTAGCATATAATCATGCCCTGGCGTTCTTATGTCATGACCAAAAACCAGAGTTTCTGGTTTGAACCTTATGTTTTTTCAAGAAACTTTTCTCTAAATTTTAATGTCACATAAGAGAAAGCAGGTTTGAATAGTTCATTAAGGCAAAACGACCAAACACTTCCAGGCTTAGATACATGTATCCGAGTGGCAATGCGGAAAATGTGGGGTATTATCAGAAATTAGCATACTTCAAGGCAGGTTGAAGTGGAATGGTGAGGAAGAGACAGTAAAAACACTTATAACCAAACCCACTTGTTGCTATAACCTCTGTCAAGCAAGCTCCATCTTCACCAAAAATAATGGCAGCCATTACTTACATGTGCTGGTGGTGTTCTTCACTATGGCTTTAAAGCTCCCACATCAAATTGACTGGGGACAACATTACTATTAGTATTCTAGGTTACGGGTAAGAAAAGTGAGGCTCAGAGAGGTTAACTTAGTCAACATCTTAGGATTCAAACCAAGCTGGTTTCAGTGCAATGAATTCCTGAGGAGCAACAGTGTGATGGCTAAGAGTGCAGGCTGTGTGTGCACACTGCACACCTACCAACACCTGCAGGAGAGAAGCTCATGTCCTGCCAACTTGAAAGATTACTGATTATGTGGTTCTCAGCTCCACATTGCCATTCTAAATGAAGTTTATCCAACAACATATCCAAAATGATGCCATCATTCAATAATGGGTGTCTGTGGTGGGGGTGAGAGGACACCTAAAGTTTACCCTGCAAACAAATTTTTTTTTTCTCTAGTTCATCCACTACCCAACCTTGGCAAAGGGAGGAGGAGGAGCTATTTTGGGCTACCTTGAATATTTACCAAATTCAATAATCTAACAAATACACAAAATACAACAAAAATGTCACATAGAAATTTGGGGATATCTGTGCTAGTTATGGTAATAAAACTTTTAATTTATTATTCATAATGAGGCAGAAACACAGCCTAAGTAGATCGTTAATACTCTGGAAAGATACTTACCCAACACAAAACAGTAGTTACCTGTGAGGAGGGTAAGGGAGTGGTGGGCAAGAGATTGAGCTTGATTTCTCATGTCTAATTTCTTTTAAAAGGAGTACATCTGTGAATTTCTGGTATAACAAAAGATTTAAAAATGTTGAAGATTGAAAGGAAATGCATCCAAATATTGTTTCCCATTAGTGGAACAATGGCAATTTTAAAATTTCTTCCTTCAACTTTTCTGTATATTCCAAATTTTCTCTATTGAGGATATGGTATAGCTGTGAAAGAAGAACTAGTAAAATTTAAAATACATTTTTAAAATGAACAGAAAATAATTATCTCCTAAGTTCTAAAGGTGTTATTAAGAAATAGCTGAAGAGGTTATTAATTACATCTCATTAATGAATGGGAATGACCACCCATATCAGTACAGAGTAATGTAATTCATAACTAGGAGTAAAAAGTATAAGCTAAATGGATGAAAATTGCTTGTCTGGGACTGCTCTTTTAAAAGTAACACAAGACAATTTAAATTGTGCTATATGCAAAAAAAAAGTTATTTGGGGGGGATTATGGGTGACTTAAAAAATTTTTTAATCTTATGCTTAAAAATAGTTAAGATTTAAAATATTTTATGCAGATGCATTTACAATTCCAAATCACTGGGTTCAAATTAGCCTCCCAACTCAAATGGGCATTTTACTGGTATTCAGTGAATCTCAGCTCTTATGCCTAAGTGATTAGCTGCCTCACAGACAGCCGGAGGCATTAGGTACTTCTGTGCCTACTGCACAGGCAGGATTCTTATAATTTTCAAATAAACAAATGGCATTTCTTAATATAGTAATTCCGTTGAAGAGTCCAGTGAGAACACTAACACACCCAGGTAAAGATCTGCAAGTGATATTTTGTTGAAAGGCAGCCTTGATTTCAATTTCCCAAGATTCATAATTGAAAGCATACAGCACCCATTTTGGTTGGATTCACATGGTAACCATGAGCACCCCAGAGCAATGGACCAAGCAGGGACTTAACTAGAATTGGGACCCAAATTCTAATGTCAGTTCAGAAGTAAGACCACCACCTTAATCTGCAATTTTCTCCTCATGAATAAGATCTGGACGTCATCTCTCAGGCCCTTTTTCCTGCTAACATCCCAAGCCTAAGCCTTTAAGCTTGACACTGGAATGAAGAGCAAATAAAAGGTTTCTTCAAAAGCTGCTGTTCTCTTTTTGGATCCTTACATAAGCTCTAACCTGCAACAGCTGAGAATGAAGACTAAATTTTATCTAGCGAGCTTGCTGCAAAATGATCCACACAAATGTTTTGTGGTTTAAAACAGATCATCTTTTTAAATGTCTGGCATTTAAGATACTTAATATCTTGTTAAGTGAGACTAGTCCTTTATTAAGTCCCTCATCTTCTTGACAAGGTCCCTAGGAAAGCCATTCCAAACCAACTACTTCTGAGTTGAGGTTTATATACCCTAAATCTTATAACTGTTTATTAAGGAACCTACCCTAAGAAAGAGGTTGACTACTATATTAGTTGGCTAGGGCTGCTGTAACAGTACCACAGACTTAAACATTTACTTCCTTACAGTTCTGGAGGCTAAATTCCGAGATCAAGGCATCATCAGGATTGGAGTCTTCTGGAGGTCTGTCTTCACATAGTCTTCTCAGGATGTGTCTGTGTCCTAATCTCCTCTTCGTATTAGAACACCAGTCATATTGGATTAGGGCCCACCCTAATAGCCTCATTTTAACTTAATCATCCCTTTAATTACCTCGTTTTAATTTAATCACCCCTTTAAAGATGCCATTTCCAAATATAGTTAGCATTCTGAAGTACTGGGGGTTAGGACTTTCCAACATATGAATTTCAGGGAACACAATTCAGCCCATGCTATAGAGTTTATAATTTTCCTTTTTCACATATTTTGACATAAGTATTTATAGCAGGCTTAACATAAATTGATGAAAAAAAAAATTAAAAACCAAAAGACAGGCTTGTATTGTGGGCATGTAAAACATAAACAATGTACAAAGAAATCTGTTGTCTGACTAGCCACTATGTCTGCGGCATTAGGACCTACTGAAAAACTTTCACAGAACTTTGCCCTAGGAAGCTTCCGGTGAGAAAAGGTGACACTTAAGCCCAGGCACCACGCAAAGCGAAATTCAGGAACAAAAGCCAAGATTCATTTCATCACTCAACAATCGTGTTCCTGAATGGTTGACTATGTGTACAACACTTTAAATGACATACCAAAAGATGGGTCAAGTCTTCACTTGGCCAGATCAAAACCCGTTTCCTTACAAAATTTTCTCAAGGCATGAACCCCAGGTTATCAGCATCTGAGGCGTTTGAGATGTCTCTTAAGAACACAGGTCTCCACATCATACCCCACACTCAGTGAATCCAGTTCTAGGCCTGGCAACCTGAACTTTAACAAGCATCCACCTACCCACTCACTTGGGTCTGTGGGTCTCTGCTCTGAGAGCTGTGCACTGCCATCTATGCACACTCACTCTTCTCCCAAGAGAAAAGGTCATGCTTGTCCAAGTTGCAAAACTGAATACACATTTATTTCACACACAGTGCAATTTAGTACAGGCAGAAAAGCACTCTGCATCACATTCATGATCAATATCCTCTTCTTTCTACTTGGTATGTCACTGAAAACCTAGCACATCATTTGTCTAAAAAATCACATAAAAGATCCCTAGAGAAACTAATCTAATGGTTTTCCCCCAAACAATAGACTTCTTCTTCATTAGTCAAATTAGTTCTTGCTTACACTGACAGTGGAATGCAATGCAAACCTAACAGTGATATTTGTTCACAAGAAAGACTACACTTATGCTTTCAAGTATAAAGATTATGGCTGAGTGTCTAATTTGCCTGTTATTAGCCACCAGAACTCGAAGGGGAAGCAACGACTTTATGGAAATTATACTCTTCCTGCAAATTCAGTTCCACAACCTGTATGAGCAAGGGTCCAAGTCACTGGAGAGGCAGCAACGCTGACCAAAGGGCCTGTTCACGTGTGGAAACGCACCAGATGTGCCTTTCCCGGCTATGTCCTTCCCTGAGGTCCATTCCACTGGCTTCACATTAACTTGGTCCTCCAGTTTTGCAGCAGCTATTTGGAAGACTGTGGCTTGTCTTTGGGTTGTGATCTTTACATTTCCAAGAATCTGTGTTGGCTGATCTCAAGGGTAACATGCCTTGTCCGAAATATAGATGTTCCCATGGTATGAAGGCCATTCTGTAGGTTGTGTGTGTGTATTTCTCCTATGGGAGATAAAGCCTCTTTCCTCTTTAGCAAGAGAACACTGCACTGGCAGCGCTGCTTTGGCTAGCTCTTTTTCCTATGTTCCCTCATGTGCGCAGCAATTGAACCAGCTATTTCTGCATTCTTCTTGTTCTGGCCAAAATAATCTAGAAACTCGCCATCTGGTCCAATTAAGTACATTATTATTGTATGATCCACCTGCAGAGAAAGGGGGTAGAGATCACAAAAAGATTACCAAAATAAGCTGCTAGTTTTACTGAATAAATGCCACAGGATATGAGAATTTCACATCAATGCTTAAATAACCTTGGTGGCATTTATTATTTATGGAATGGGCCTAAGCCTTTAATAATAAATTCACAGTGACGAATTCTCTAAAATCCTTTGTTTCCCAGAAATCTGCATTGCCTACTGCTTGAGACATTACCTAGAACTTGGATTTCTTTTGGCTCAATCCTTAACACGCACAAACTGAGAAAAAAATTCACTTTTAAGAAATGGCTGTTGCTGGTCTTCGTAAAAGTCAATACTTGTGAAACGACAATGCTTGCTTGTAAAGAGCCTACATTTATGTGTAAAGTATTTCATTTGACCTCTTAATCATATTATAAAGACATATCACATAGAATTAAAAGTGTTGGGGAAAAATCACTTTAATAAGTTCTTGGGGTATTCCTTCATGTTTTAAGAACTACCTAAATTTTGCTTACCATGTTTTATGAGAAGAAACCAGAAAACTACTAAATATATAATTTATAAATTCTAACACAGTATTTAGTCCTGATATTAGTGATTCAAAAGGATACATGGAAACAAGTATTTTTCTCCCCTAGGAAATTTTTATACCACGCTAAACAATCCTATCTGAAGCAAACCACCTGGAAGCTCCTGAAGAGCTATAAATTCTACACCTCAAAGGAATCATTGTAAATCCACTATCCATTTTCCTGGCAAAGTTCTTAAAACTTTCCTAGCTTTAACTTAAGTTTAGATTAGCATGTTTTTTTGTTTGTTTTGTTTTTGTTATATGCTTCTACAAAACCCAATTTTAAATAAGCAGAAGACTTCGAACTTAGAGTCCTTGGGATTTACTGTAGGCTTGACTGCTATTTGGCAAGACTAAAATAAAGACAGGAATGTGATCGTACATACCAAAATGGAGACACCCCCTTGAATATATTCAAACACACATTGTATGTCTGTGAGGTTATTTTTTTTTTTATATACACATATTCGTAAAGAGAGAGCAAATGGAAAGAGGCACTTGCCCATGCACATAAGGAAAGAATGTACACCAAGAGAGCTCAAACAAACAGCTGGTGATTCCATGTGTCTTCGAACAATTTACTGCAGGAGTAGGACAGGGGATCTATTTTTCTCCAAACATATGAAATGATGTAAGTCAGAATCAGGTCTCCAGTTCGCTCTTCAAACCTTATCCCATAGCTTACACCTCTCTTCTTATTTTTCTTTTCTCTATTCTCTCTCCCTTAAAAATCAGAATTTCAGCGTATTGAATTTATTTTACAAGTGTTCTTAATATAAATTACTTTCTAACACATAATAAAAGTACTGTTCTAGCCACAGACTTGTCAGTGGTCAAGTCTCAATGTCCATTTGGGTACAGAGCAAACTGCCATCTGTTTCTAATTGAGCGTTTTAAAGTTCTAGCAGGTCCTAGTAGAGAAAAAGTAGCACTTATTGATAATCTCTTTCACATGTCATCTTAACCGAGAAGACAGGTATCATACTCCTCTACAAACAATAAAATGAGCTTAAGGGTAAGTTATATAAATTAGTAAGTGCAAGACTTAAGCTTAGAACCTAGATCTGCCTAATTTCAAAATCCACAATCTTTCCATATCACCATGTTGCCACTATCTTTACTGGAATTCTATTGGAGGGTAAATTTAGTTTTTCTAATGTGTATTTATACATATGCCTATATACACAAACATATATGTATATAATTTTTCTTTTGAAAAGGTAATAAATGCTCATAAAATAGAACAAAGAATATACGGTAAACCTCTACAATGACCGTCCTCTTCCCCTTCCAAACTCCCGGAGTCCTTGTTCTTTATTCTTTCAGAGAAATTTTCGTCATTTATTAGTGTGTATAGACCCACCTATTTCTTTTATCATCTATCACCTATTTCTTTTTACATAGAAGTAACAATATACTATACTTGTTTTCTCGTTTAATGAGATATTGGACATTGTTCTATATTAGCACATATATAGTAGCCTTTTAAAAAATGGGTGTTTGGATTTCTCAGTCTTTTTACAAACAATGAGATAAGGCATATCTATAGGATAAATTCCCAAAAATAGGATCTCTAACTTAAAGTGTTCCGCTTTAAATGCAGATACTGACAAACTGCCCTCAGAAGAAACTGTTCCTATCAACAACTCATGAAAGTGCTTGCTGTTCCAAATTCATGCCAACAGTCTATTTCCACTTTTCCCAAATTCGATTTTGACAATGTATTTCAACTTTTGACCTTTGCTGATCTAACAGGTGAAAAATGGCATCACATTATACAATTCACATTTATTATGAGTGAAACTGAACATCTTAGGTTTGAAAACTACTTATATTCTTTGTCAACAGTAGTTTCTAATTAATACTTACAAAATAATGTAATATTATAGATATAATGCAGTGATGTACACATTTATCTTTCAAAGGAATCCGAAACGTTTGGCACGCCCAGTTTACATATACTATCAGTCTGAGGATTCCACTAGCGTTCAAAAACCAGAAGCTTACCTTTTGCTGCTGTTGTTTGAGATTAAGAAAATCTCACTCCATTACACCTCAACTTTTAAGGCACTCCCTAACTCCTTGCAGATCCTTAAATCTTAACAGAAGTTTCTCGTATCATCTTGTGGATGAAAATTTGACATCTCAGGGGACAGCAGTCATACTAATGAAAAACCGAGGAAGCTGGAGAGTGTCTCCCCCTATTGGTTGATTTAGCAAATGTATAGCAATGAACTCTAAATTATCAAAATGTCAATTCTTATGGCAGTAGGCCAGTAATTCTCAATATGGGGTCTAAAATATATTCTAGAGGGTCCAAAAAGTCTCCATAAGACAAATAATTACATTTCAACTTTTAAAATAAAAAAATTAATATCCTGTCACCCCAATAATTTTAAAAATTAAAAAAAATTAATATCCATGTTAATATATGCACAGTACAAATCTCAGTGCCCAAACTTGTGTTTAAGTTTATAAACTCACTGGTATCAACCAGTAGTGTACAGGTTACAGGCAGACAAGAAAATGATGTATTCTTGCTGAGTCAAGTCTAACCAGTCAAGTTAGACTACACAATCAAAGGTGTCAAAGTATTTTAAATTAAAAAACTGCAAGGGGCAGTTGATAGTATAGTTAGGTATCTGACAGCAGTCAAATCCAAACCACATTCCTGTAGTGAGCAGTGCTTTGGTTTCAGCAAAGTGTCTCTTGTTACCTTAACTGAATGCTTTGAGTTTTATATGTAGTTTGATTTTATTTGTAAAATCCTTTTCTGACTGGAATTATGAGCTATAAACACAAAATTAAGGAGTGTTATCTAGTTTACAATTGGATATATTTAAACAATTTAATAAAACTCGCTGAACACCAGAGGTCAGACTGATTAGCTCACCTTCTCTCACAATCATCATAAGTTAAACTCAAAACCCAGTTAATACAACTCTCTTTTACAGAAAGAGTAAATAACTTTGCAAAGTATTCTTTCCCATGGCTTCCTCTCTCGACCATTGTTCCCCTCTGCTCTTCACTCATTCTTCTCATGCTGCTGGTGCAACAAGAGGAAGCCACAGTAGGGTCTCTCTGCTTTCCTTAAACTTAAGAGCTTAAAGAAAAATGCTATTTTTTTCTTATTTTTTGCTCCAATGAATCCCTAAAGCTAGAACAAGATTCTAGCTTTAGAAGATTCAAGCTAGAACAAGATTCAAGCTAGAACAAAGATTCCCTAAAGCTAGAACAAGAACTGGAAAATAAGATTAAATAGGCTTAAGACAAAGGAATCAGAAGTGTTTTTAATTTAGGTTGTAAGCTACAGGGGCACACAATGTGCTCCAGGTTCAAAGGTGATAGAGAAACCAGAGTGGGCTGTAAAAAGGCAAACCATCACAATGAGATGTCCCCTCTGCACACTGCTCTTGGAAACTGGTCATGGCGCAGCTGGCAGATCAATGATTCGGGGTCCTGGTTGTCTCTCTCTACAAAACCAGGTTTGCAAATGGAAAGGCTCTTATGATTCATCACTTTGGCCAACCAATATAATAGAGAAACTAGAGCGCGGCAATAGAAAAAAAAAAAACTGAAATGAAACTAAAATACAATGTTGACTCTTAACGTGATGAGAAAGAATGTCCATTTTGAGAAGAAAACTGGATGGAACAGTGCTTATACTCTTTGTTGGTGCTTTACTGTGAAATCGCTGATACTAAAAGGAACAAAGGAACTTTGGCATTAGCCTAGGGCTGCTGGGGCAGTGCTGAGGAATGCAAAAATAGCTCTTTGATGTACCAGCTCCAGAAGTGCAACTTAACAGAATTTCTGTTCTTCAATCATTAAAAAGCATATATTAAACACCTAATTATGCAAAGCATATAGTTGATGTGAAAAACACACCTTATAGAACATCCACCTGCCTATGGCTTTCATCTTTTCTCTTGCTTTTCAAAATGCAGTTACCCACGGCCTAATACTGCTTCTCAAAAGGAGCATATTTCTTACACCCCTTCACTGAGGACAGAGAGAATACAATGTTACAAACTAAAATAAGCTTTGCCACAAAAGGATGGCTTCTATATTCTATTGATTCTAAGATACCGCTGATTTTATATTGCCTTCTAATTTTATGTGCCACTAGAAAAGAAAAACAGGCTATTAAATTATGAGAATACTGAATATAAATTAAAGAAGCATCCTTTAAAAAAGTATACTTCTACTATACTTTTAAACATTCCTAATTCCTAAGGAATTTGCAGTAGCCTTAGGTTTTCTTTCATCTCTGAAGCCAGTTGTCACTTATAGCTAGCTACATGAATGCCTGGGACCTGGGAGCTGGCCTGTGGGTTGAACACTGAGCATTTACTTACTATGTAATCCTCATCTTCATCCTTGGGGCCAGGGCTGTAATACACTCGGTAAGCTCTGGCCACTTGATCGATCTCTTCTTTTCTGCCAGTCAAGCCAACCAGTTTGGGAGAAAATTCTAAATAAAAATGAGAAAGACACTGAAAAATGAGAAAGCACGCAAAACAACCATCTCTACTTCAAAACCACAGTATGAATTATATTGCCACTTTCTCCCTGTGAGTCTCTAAACATTCTCTCATGTTTCAAATGAAAAGAAATCCACATAGAACAAATGAAAATTCTACATTGTAATGTATGTCACATTGAAATTAAACTGAAAATCAGTAAAAGAAGGATATCTGGCAAATCCCTAAATACTGAAGATTAAAAACATACTTCTAAATAACACATGGGTAAAAAAAAGTCTCAAGAGAAAGTAAAAAATATTTTGAAAAATGAAAATGCAAACACAACTTATCAAATGTGTGGGATGCAGCAAAAGCAGTGCTTAAGAGAAAAATGTATAGCATTGAATGCATACATTAGAAAAAAAGACCTAAAATCAGTTAATATAAGTTTCCATCTTAGGAAACTAGGAAAAGAGTAAATTAAAAAGTAAGCAGACGGAAAGAATTAGAGCAGAAATCAATGAAACTGAAAACAGAATATTAATAAAGAAAACAATGAAACCAAAACTGGTTCTTTACAATCTATCAGTCAAAACCTTTCATGACTATCTAGTAAACATCTGGAGGAAATATATTCTAATTATTTAAATCAAATTTTTTATTAATTTAGTTGTTTTTAAATATTTAGATATAATTCTGAGAAATGCTGAAGTTAAGATATTATGAATTAAGCACTATAGTGTTTCACTGTATCATATGAGAAAAGTTTGCTTCACAATTAGTTCATACCAGGTCAAAATATCTGTATCTTGTTTTCCAGCAAATAATCTCATAGCATGTATGTGCTGTTAAGTTTTTGGAATTTATGTAAAAAGGCTGGTAAAAGTCACTTAAGACAACTGAATTCATCACACTACTGCAATGACAGTCCAACATTTAACATTAGTGCTTTCTTCCAAAGTTAGAGAAAGTGTATTTTCATTCTTTGGATGACTTCATTCTAACTGAAAAATTGTTCAGGTGCTGAAAAAGCAAGATGGTTGTCTTTCTTTTCCACTCTATGAGTAAACGAAGAGAAAGGTGAATGAAGCCTGAATTAGTTGAACATCCAAACTTTTAAAAAATTGTTGAAATTGCAATAATTTTCTAAATACAAACTAATTTTAACACACCCAAAATGCAATTAGTAATGATTACATCATAAAACGCTGTACATAGGTGCTGCTGAAGAAAAATTACCATAAGGTTTTGGTATTTTGGTTAGGTACAGCAACTCAGATGTCTATTCATTTAAAGATATTTATAGTTTGGTTAATATGTGATGAAAAATAATTGCTAATATAAAATACATTTAAGTTGGAGATTATTCATCCCCAAACAAGTTATATTTGCTTTTTACTGCTTTAGGAAATAACTATTCTATTGCCCAAATTTCTGACAAACCTGCAAACTGTGGACATAAATTCTGCTTATATGTATTAAAAACTCTCAGATTTCACAGAGAAAACATAAACCTTTGCAACCTTGGGTTATGCAAATATTTTTTACATACACAGCCAAAAGAATTAGCTATACAAGAACAACTTTATAAACTGGACCTCATCAAAATGGAAAACTGCTCTTAAAAAAGATATGGCTAAAATGACAAGCCATAAACTGGGAAAAAATATTTGCAAATTATATACCTGATAAGACATCAAGAATATAAGAAACAAATAAATAAATGCCCCATAAAACAGGCAAAAGATGTGAAGAGATACTTCACCAAAGACATACAGATGGCAAATAACAGCATGAAAAGATGCTTAACATTAGGAAAAAGCATATTAAAACCACAATGAGGTACCACTAAATACCTACTGAAATGACTAAAATAAAAGATTAACCATATCAAGTGTGGCAAAGAATGTGGATGTGGGAAAAATGGAACTCTCAATACAGTGCTAGTATGAACGTAAAACTGTACAAACACTTTGGAAAAAAGTTTGTCAGTTACTCGAAAAGTTAAATATATACCTACTATGTGATCCAGCCACTCTACCCCTAGGTATTCAGTAGGTACTCAGTAGAAATGAAAGCATGTGTCCATACAAAGACTTGGACATACATGCTCTTAGCAGCTTTTTTGTAATAGTCAAAAACTGGAAATAACTCCAATGTCCATCAATGAAATGTTACTCAGCAATAAAAATGAATATTATTGATACATGCTATAACATGGATGAACTTCACAATAATTATGCTGAAAGAAGCTATTCAAAAAAAGAGTACACACTCTGTAATTCTATTTACATAAACTACCAAAAAATGCAAACCAATTTATATTGACAGAAAGCAGATCAGTGGTTGCCTGAAGATAGAAGGTAGATGAAGGGGAGGGGTAAAAGGAAGGGATTAGCAAGGGCATAAGGAAACTGTTGAGGGTGATGGATATTTTCACATTTTGATTATGGTGATGGTTTCACAAGTGCATACATATGTCAGAAGATAACAAATTGTATAATTTCAACAAAATGATGTACTTGTCAATTACATCACAATCTATCTATTAAATAATATACAGTCGGTCCTTTATCAAAAACATTTTTAAAATAAACTTAAGAGTTTTAGAGGATATGCGGCCATATAAAAATAAATATAAAACTATTCATTAGTCCTTCTGACCAGTTGCTTAAATCAATTTCATCATAATTAAAATTTAAATTCCTGATTTTTAAGTATGCACATTCTGCACACTAGTACAAGAACAACAAAATCTGTTCATACTCATCACATTTTTCAGCTGAAAAAACATGAATTTGGAGAAATGAAACAATTCGCCTAAGCTTATAAGAACTTAAATATTCACCCTTAATTCTACCAAAATTTACAGTCTTTAAAAGTACATTCTAATAGGTTTTAACCTGCATATTGAGATGTTTGAAGTGAAATGCTTTAATAGTTATGTGTTCCTATCATAATGAATGTTTTGGATTTATAAAATATGTGCTGAGTTCAAAAGGTGTTTACATGTAATTCATTTTTAACCTCTCAATTTACATACTCCCAGAACATGTTTGCCTTAATTTTACAAAGGAGAGAATGCAGTACAGAGCTGGAGTTAGAAGCAATGTATCTTTACTCTCAATTCAAGGCTCCATTAACTTAGTTGGTATATGAAGACCAAGTTCAATTCTTTCTCTGTGACAAAATAAAAAAGCTCTGCCCCAGAAATTGAGAAATTTGTTTCTTATTTATTTACTTACTAGCCACAGTCACAACTCTGAGCCTCATCTTTTTATTTAACTGTAAAATTGGTGATAATACCATGTGTCCTCCTTATTTCACAAGGTGTTGTAAAGTTCAAATGAGCTGATCTTTCAAAAACTATAAGAGCTAAAAAGATGTAAAGTACTATTAATGAAACATACCTTTCACATAATTTGCAATGGCTTCTTTTGTGTCCCTCTCTGGGTCAATAGTGATGAAAAGTGGAGTTAAATTTGGCAGAGTTGGAATACTATCTGAAAGAAAGTTCTCGTTAGTCAGTATTCACGCTCTAAGGGAAAAGACAAAGAAAGCCAGCAATTACAGTAGAGTATAGTAAGTGCTACAGCAAAGTATTAAGGAAATACATATGCACATCTGACACTGATATTACATGACAAGGAAGGGATGGACTTCAGGATGAACAGATCTATATTTTATGGTGGAATCATAAATATCCTACCAAATACCAGCACCAGTGCATACATGCTATTACCCAGATCACACTATATGGGCATCTTGTCTCTTAATCCACTAAAATATATATAGAGTTCCCCACCCTTCCATAACTCGAAGGCAAGGTAAACTATTCCTAAGGACTGAATATTCTGGAACAACTATTTTAAGAAGGATGTACACTGCCTTCTCATTGGTATGAATAAATGCCCCTGACTGTCCATCATAGACCACAATACATATCTGTTTAACAATCAGTGACTGGGGAAAAGTCAGGGGCAGTGTCAATGATGGAAGGCCACAATGAAGTAAGGCACACAAAGTAGACTTAAGGGAGACCCAAACCACATTGCAATTTTTGAGCAACCTCACTTTTAGCATCACAATAAGCTCCATTTGGTAGAGAAAAAGGTCACAGGATTCAAAGCAACAAATAAGCGTAATGCTGAGAGTTTGTTCTCACAAACCAAATAACTACAACTTTCTGCCTAACAGTAACATAAGAATGTGAAAAGTGTAGTGATGTTAAATAAACGTATACTTTTTATAGTAAGTGATGGCTTTCTTACCTATTTCATCCACGACTTGAATCATTTTTTCTAGTTCTTCTGGACAGATATCAGGGCAATGAGTGAAACCAAAATAAATCAATACCCAGTGACCCAGGTAGTCCTTATCAGTTTTGGGTTCTCCAGTATGAGTTATGAGGGAAAATGGGCCCCCAAGTAAAGGCTTTCCAATGCTTCGCTGCTGTTTCTTCTCCAACTCTTAAACACAAACACACACCGGGAAAAAAAAAAAAAAATCAGTCTAACCACAGGTTATATCAAATGTCTGATATATGGTCCATACTATACTAATGACTGTATCAAATGTCCGATATATGGTCCATACTATACTAATGACTGTGTGGGCACAAAATGCAGAAAAAATAGTGTCAGTTTTCAAGAAGCTTAAAAAAATCTTTTAAGAATAAGCATGAAACAATGAAACGAAATCAAATTCAGTGCTATGGAATGTAGTCAGGACTATAAAAAAAGAAAGTGGTAAAATTATTTCCTCCTTTTCTGGAACAATTCAGTCCTAAGCCAACAAGTGTGCCCTGATAGGGGTGGCGGAGGGGACACAGCAGTGCAGAATGTTTAAGCCCAAACAGGAGAGTTGGGTGGCTTAGCATTAGAAGTCTGTGCCTGAGTGTGCTGGGGGCAGCTGCATAGGGAGAGAACAGTGGTGATGGGATCTTAGTTACTTACCAGAAATTGATCAAATAAGTATATTAGAGATGAGTTACAAATGTAAAAGGAGTTAGAAGGATAGAAAGAGAAAAAACTAGAATGAATCCTACAGTATTAGAAAGTGGAGTTACGGTATGAACTTATGGCTTCAATCTATATACATAAATACAGATGTAATTATATGCACGTGTATGTGTATGTATATATATGCATTTCCGAGCTCTGTCTACTTAGAGGACCCAGGAGCAGACGTACCCCAACAGCAATGAATTCATATCCTGATTACTAAATATCATCCTCCACTAAAAGGAAATGGGGCTTTTTAGAGAAAAGGCTGATATCAGAGCTGGGGCAGAGAAAGCACAAGATAAGCCTGGAACATTTCATAAGCTAGAATTAAAGGAGAACTCAAAGAATATTGGAGACGTCAAAAGGAAACAGAAGCCTGCTCAAAGAGACTCCCATTGACCAATTTGGGACAATCTGAGCATCAAATTAAAGAGAATAACAAATTATTACTCACTGATTATAAAGAAAATCATGAGTCCATACTGCCATAAATGAACTGAGTTTGATGGGGAAAAGAATATTTACATAGGTAAATCTATATCACAAAATGCATATTAATTACATTTTTGGTAGAGAAGCCTAACAGACACCACCTTAACCAAATGATCAAACTGAACATTATAATTATGTAATGGGACAAATTAAAATCATGTGGCACCTGACTAGGTAGAATGAAAACACAGCAACTTTTTGTGATATTCTTGCCAAAAGTACAGGACCTGACTCTAATTATGAAACATCAGACAAACCAAAACTAAGAGACATTCTACAAAATAATTGGCCTGTAATTTTCAAAGTAGTCAAGATTGTGAAAGTCAGGTAAAGATTAGAAAAACTGTTACAGATTGAAGGAGACTAAAAGAGATAAAAATTAGGTATGAGGTGTGGTTCTGAACTGGATCCTTTTGCTACAAAGGACATTAAGTTGCAAAATTTGAATGAGGTCTGAAGATTGAACAATAGTAACATAACAATGTTAACTTTCTGATTTTGATGGTTGTACTGTGATTTTGTTGGAGAATGTCCTTATTTGTAGGAAATATATAATAAAGTATTTGGAGACGATGAGGCATCATGTCAGATATTCTCAAATGATTTAGGAACACTTTTAATATTGTTTCATAATACAGTAATTGCAGGTGAAATTCCAAACTAAAGTCAAAAGAACCTTGCATTTTCTAGAAGTATCTCTACTACTCTGTTCCTAGCTTTTATTTTGTTTCATTGTGAAACTAAAGGAACTTAACTGCTTATTAGAACACGAAAATTGTATCAATAAAACACTGCTCGTTATACAAAAGAAATGTCTATATATCAATATGGATTTTGGCATCAAAAGAGCCTCTAAAGTAAAAAAATCAAAACAAATCTGAGTGATATTTTAAAGATTTGCTGGAAACTTCCGAACCAAATCTTAAGTCCTAGAATATTCACTAAAATATGAAGTTCCTGTAAACAATGTCTAAACACATCAAGTGTTTATCCAGAGCAGTCCCTAGCATTCCTGAACCACGTTCTTCCTCTTTTTCCATCTTCCATGGTCAGCCTCCAGGCTTTCCCTCTGTTGATACTCAGCGGTTTACAGTAAAGGTTGAGCCTTCCTGTGGCCCTCAGAGGACCCTGATCCTCCCTCTGGCTTGGTAGAAGCTCACCTAGTAAAATCCTTTACTTCTGTGTGTTTCCTCATCATATGCATGTCAATGGTTAGACTGCATCCTAGTCATCTTTGTATCCTCTGGACTTTGTACTATCTATAGTTGGACCCGTCCAACAATAAATCTTTTCAGATTGTTATACAGTGGTATCTTGGATTGGATACTGGAACAGATAAAAGGCAATAGAAAAACAGGTAACTCCATATAAAGTTTCTAGTTTAGTGAATAGTATTGTACCAATTTTAATTTCTTAGTTTTGATAAATGAGTCATGGTTATGTAAGTGTTAAGATTAGGGGAAGCTAGGTGAAAGGTATATGGGAACTTTCTATGACATATTTACAACTATTCTGAAAACCTAAAATTATTTCTAATACTGTAAAAGTAACAAAAAGATGATAGTCTCTAGCCAGGGAATATTTTATTCAGACTTGACAAGATATCTACTTACTCTCTGTTTTTTCTTTCTTGAAGTACTTCATTCCAGCCAATAAAGCTCCTCCAATAGCAAATGTGACCGCTAAAGACTTCCAAGAAACAGGCTACTGGGGCAGAGGTTTCAAAAATAAAACATCAGTAAGATGCAGACATTTAATCATACTAAACTTATTATAGTTTTTAATAAACGTTAACACAGGCCTTCATCTTGTTAAATGTGCAAAATGTTTCATGGTACTTTCGGATGAGAAAATACTAAATGTTTCTGTGAATGCATTTGCATCTGGCTCCTAACACAATCACAAAGACACTTGTTTCCAAGGGAAAGTTGCCTAAGCCAATTTCTTTTCTTATGAAAAAAAGACTCAGCTCAAGTATCATGACTGTTACTAGAGGTGAACTTGATCCCAACTGCTGATTTAAAAACCAGTTAATTACCTGCCTGTACTATTGAAAATATAAATAAATCAAATAAAATTTCGGAGATAACCTAACTCTAGCTTCCAAAATCACAAAGGCAATGTAGATCTAAAAGTGGAGTTTCTAGCAAACTGCATCAAGCTATTTCTTTGTACTCTTTTCAAGCCTCAAAGTTAGATGTCGACTACTTAGGCCTAACTCATTAACCTTCCCAAGCTCGGAAAACCACTTCTCTCATCTATCAGCTGGAGGGTAGTGGCTCTTAAATTCTTTTTGGGTCAAAACTAGAACCCGAGAGAAATTTAAGAAAAAAGGCATATCTAGCACGCAACTACGACCCTTATTTTGCTCAATTTCAATGTATACACCAAAACTCCAAAGAGGGGTCTAAGTCACAAAAATTAGAAAAATGCTCTGACTCCTCAATAATGGTAAACTTAAGGTTGAGACCGCTAAGAAAATCTGAAGCTTAAACTAAAAATCCAAGCTCGAGTATGTTTTTAACCGCATGGAGGAGGTGTTGGTTCTCAAGTTCTCTCTTAAGGGCTGACACTTCAGGCAAACCAAGGGAAAGGCGGGATGAAATTCTGCGACTCAGGTAAGCCGTTTGAGTAGCGGACAACTTCAGGCCAGGCCGAGTGATTTCTGAGATTACGATCGAGTGGGATGGGAAAGCCACAGGATTATTTGACAGCCGCGACGAAGAAAGGAAATGCTCCAAGTGTGCACTCACCCCAGGCTGTGAGGGACGCGAGGGGTCTCTGCGGCCCTTCGGGTCGGGTCCCGACGCTCCCGGGGGTGGCGGCATCGCAGTGCTAAGGAGCCGGTTTCCCAGGCAGCTACCGGCGAGCCCCGAGACCCGCCACGTCTCCTCTCGCTGCGCGCACAGTTGCCTCAGCAAGACGCTCGCGGTCCCCTCAGCTGGGCCCCAAACACCAAAACCGCGAGGTAACAGAGGCCAAAGTTGACAACTCGGAAGCCGCATTATCCGGCCCGCGCCCAGGAACAGAGCCGCCATGAGCTCGGAAATCGCGCCTCCTTTAGCCCGCCCCTCGACTTCCAGCACCGTTTCCGCTTCCTCCGGAAACCAGGAGGAGCACCTCTCTCCGCGCGGCTCGATGGTGGCGCGGTAGCCTACGGGTAGTCTGGGATCCTTTCGCAAAGGAGCTGGACCGTGGTAGGTGGTTCCTCGCGGTTGGAGGCGGCTTGGTCCGGGCTGGGCGTGGGTGGGCAGCAAGGCCTGGAGGAGGGGGCTGCTTGGGGGTCCAAGCTGCGCGGCGGGGCCTAGGCGGGAGGTCCTGGGCGCTAGGGGCTCCTAGCTCCACTGGGCACCCCCAACCTCGAAAAAGAGAAAGCACTGTCCGGGGACTGGCGGGACCTAGCATCCCCCATTCTTGCTCAGTGTGGAGACCTGCCACGTGGAATTGTGAGGCTGTTGACCCTCTTTGCACCTCCAAGCTAACCCGTTGCTTTTGAAATTAACTTTTTTTTGGATTGATAATTAGGATATTTTGAGTGGTTAGGGTGGCAAGGGCGAGTCAAGTATGACTGAAGTGCCTGGGGCTTCCAGTTACTTCCAGGTTATAAGGTAAACTAATTTTAAGTAACGGCACAGTACGAAGTAGCATATACCGCGCCATCCCTTAATTTAGTCTCTCTGGGTCTCAGTTTCTTAAAATATTCTTGTCGACTCCCCTGCCTCCTTCAGTTTAGTGGTTTGAAGTTTGTTGATGAGTTCCTCATCTGGGACTGCTTATTTGTTTAGGTACGGCCCTATATTAACGAGGCTGAGAGCTTTCGGAGGTTTATTTTTCATTTCTTCTGAAAGTTTAACTCGCATTCTGTCTGCCTTTGTTTATGTCTCAGTATCTGTCATCTTAACCCTTCCCCACCTCACTTCTGTGGTAGATTTGCAAAATACCAAAAAAGGAAAAAATGGCTTTCTAATTCTCTTCCTTCAGATCTCACTGCTGCGTGGCTATTTTTTCAATGGGCTTCCAATGAGAAGCTACTCGTGCTTGGGTGTTGGAGTGAAGCACGGTATTTTCTGTGAGCTGGTTAACTAGTCAAGTGTGCTCCTTTCCAGTGCAGAAAAGGTGTAGTGTAGTATCACCCAAGTTTCTTGATTCCAAAGTTGAACTGGAATTTCTGCTCAAAGTAAATGTTTGCTTAGCACTTCAAATTGTTTTTGTAAACTTTTTTTTCCAATTACATTGATATGCAGTATTCAGATTGTTTTTAATCAAACTAAATTTTCTCTCCTAAAGTTGCTTATGGGTGGTAAGAATTTTTACCTTCTTATTTTTGTGTATTTGCCCAGGAAGAAATTTTTTTTCAAATTGACAAAAAGACAAAAACCACCTTGCTTATTCAGACAATGAGCATGTACAGGTCTCTCTTCAGCCTGCTGCAAAGAAGGCGCTTTTCTTTTGGTTTCCAGTAGGTGGTGTCTAAGCCTCTTGGATCCCTGTTTTATATAAAGCCTTAAAAATGCCTTATTTTCTGATAGATATTTAATCACACTCGCTACCCTCAGTTTCAGTCCCTGTCAGTGTTAGCAATAGTTTCAGTAGCATTTGCTCAGATTCCCCTCGGGCTCCACGGTGATTGGTCTCGGAAGGTATTCTGGGTTGGGAGTTGGGGGCTGTGGCTCAGCCTTGGTTTTGCAACCGCGGCCAATAAAAATCAACTGTTGTTTTTCTGCCGTCCCGCTGCTCTGCCTTCTGCCCCGATGACTGGGCCCTGTGGCCGGCCAAGGGGAGCTCACAGCACTCCTAGGCAGGGCTGCCCAGGGATCTCACTGCTCCTTCTTCCCTCCCCTCCCTCTTACAGGCAGCTCCCGGGGTTGAGAGAGGCAGCTTCTTTATTTCTCCCAGTCCACCGCCTGACACGGGGGTTCTGATCTCTGATAGCTCCTATGCGCAGATCCCATGCTCGGACATGCTGGTGTGCTGTTTGGTTATTTTTTGTTGAGTTTTAGATGTCCGGCTTATTGTTGTTTCAAGGGGAGCTATCTGGGGTCGTCTCTCACCCCACCATGTTTCCAAAGCCCTTGTTCATTCTTTTGCTCTGTTGTAGGTTAATTGAGCAAACCCACGTCTTATAAATTAAAATCGAGTTCAGTATTGTTTTTGGCTAGTTTGTTAAATTTTTATGCCAGAGTGATTCTTTTAATAACTTTACCTTTATTTGTTTGCCAGAGCATTTTTATACACCTTCATATTAAAATTTAATGTTAAAAAAAAATACAATCTTCTAAAACAGTTTCTGACACAACATAGATGTTTTATAACTAACCATACATTGGATGAATTGCTGATAACACTTATGAGCCAGATTTGATAGGCCCATGAAACTTTAATGTTAAGATATCTAAAATGATATCCAGTATAAACCTGTCACTTTTATTACTATTAAACCACCAAGATTCCCAAATGAGATTTTTCTCTTTCAATTTACTTTTCCTGAAAGAGATAGGACACAGATAACATCATTTGATATTTAGTCTGTCATTAGTGACAAGGCTGATCGAATTTGTGCTTGACATAACTAGGTTAGTGGTCCCCAACATTTTGGCACCAGGGACCTGTGCTCCTTTGAGAATCTAATGCCTGATGATCTGAGGTGGAGCTGAGGCTGTGATGCTAGTGCTGGGGAGCAGCTGCAGAATCAGCTGAAGCTTCCCTTGCTCACCAGCTGCTTACCTTCCGCTGTGTGTCTGCGTTCCTAACAGGCGGTGGACCTAGGGGTTTGGGACCCCTGCTTTAAGTTGCTTTGACTAGGACAGCTAGGCCTAACTTTGTGTGACCTTCTAGGCACTCTTAACTTTTTTGCTTCATCTCAAGTCCAGAATGCTTTTTAACCTTTTTCCCAGTTAGAAAAAAAAATGTAGCTCACTGCCAGCGTTCATTTAACATGCTTGTGAATACTACATTTTCTAGGATTTGACATTTTCAGTGATTGAACTACTAAAAATTACTATAAATAGAAGGATGCCATTTGTTTTAAAGACTGTTGATATACTAGAGCAGTGCAAAAACAATAGAAACGATATATTTCATGGCAGACTTTGGGGGTAAGGTTAGGACTGTAATCCATGAGTTATCTCAGGGTAAATGCTACAGCTGCAAGCACTGTTGGTGAGTATTCTCAGGCCAGTGGGGAAATGGGTTAAAAATTTCATATTATAGACATTTAAAAGCATAAAAGTAGAGCAAATAAAACTCATATACCCATTATTAGTTTTAACAATTATTATCCTCTACTCACCCACTGTTTTGTGTGTATTTAGTGGAGCAGGGGGTGTATTTTGAAAAAGCTCATGGCATCAGAATGTTTTTAATTCTAAATCTCCTCACTGGAGGTGTCTTTGGGTTTTTATTCTCTCCATCCACCAGGACCAATCTTTCTGAGTTCACTGGCATCTCCCTGAGCCATAAAATAAAAGACTGAGCTATTCAGCAGAATTAATTCCCTGCCCACTTGGTTCTTTTTGCCTTGCCTTACTCACTTCTGATTCTAATTGTCTTTCCTTGAATGTGGCCTTGTCCTCCCCTCTTGCCTCTTATCTTTGCCTTAACAAATCACAGTATGATTTTAAGTTTATGTTTTTCAAAATAATTTCTTTTAATTAAATTGCATGTTCTCTATCCATAACCTTATTTTTAAAAGCTATATGTATTCAGCATTTTGGATCTCTCCCCCCATCTCCCACCAGAACACATTACTGGTTTGAAGCGTGTGGCCCTAGCTGGTTTTCTCTATGTTGCTTAATTTTCTTTAACAAATCTTAGTATATCTATAAGTTTCACTAAACCGAACTGTGTTGCAGTGGAAGGTGTATCTGACAGGACTTTTGGAATCACATGACAAAAATTTAAAGCCAATTCAGTTTGAGTTTAAGCTCAAAGGAGAATTACTGGCTGTAGAACTAAATGACCAAGAGTAGTTTTAGCAAGGACAAGTGGATCCAGGTATTCAACCAATGTTCCCAGGACTCTACTTCATTCCATTAGTCAGATTTGCTTACTTCTACGTTGGATTTCTTCTCAGTTGACTTTCCCCTTCTAACTCTACTCTTATTAGCTTAGCAGAAGTAGTTTTAATAGCTTTGCTAGTAGTCCAGCAAAAGTTCAGGGGCTGGCCTTAGGCCCAGCTTGGGTTATATGCCTACCCCTAACTGACCAGAGGGAAACTGGGCTTTTAAAATAGGCCAGGCTTGGGTAATGTGTTTGCACCTCTCCATAAGTCACATGGAGAGTGAGGAATCAAGTAGTTGCCTAAGGAGACATGGAGGTGCTCTTACCAGAAGAACAGAATGAATGCTGGATAGGCAACAAATGACAAGAACAACAAAAAACAGCAGTCTACTGGAAAGAAGATCAAATTAATTGGGACTAAATGCCCTCTAGGAGTTCCACAATACTGTTATTACCTTGAAGGCTCTGAGTTTAAAGATAAAAATAAACAATCTCATTTGGCATTGGATAAAAGCACTCTGAGAAACAGTTTTAAGCTTTCGTAAACACCTTTCACTAATACACTTAGTAAATTATCTTCTGGTTTGATTCTGCTGTTAATTTGTATTTGGAATCACATATTTGAAATCTAATAAGACTAGAGATTTTCAGATTAGATGAGTTTTGTATTTATTATAATTGTATCTGAATTCTTTACTTTCCAAATCAGATTATCTCATCTATACCACCTCTCATACATATGGACTGACTTGACATCTAGTGGGGTCTGCAGAAAGAAATTAGCAAATAAAAAAAGTGTAAGAACACCAAGCCATTTCTTAGTATCTCCATCTTTTTTTCTGGTGCTGTTTTACCTGTTTTAGGGATAATTGTACCTATTTAGATTATGAAAGAAAGGAAAGTAGCTAAAGCTCATAATTGGGTGGATCAGATGGAAAGTATGTCATTAGTGTTAACAATTATGGAATGAAAAGCTCCTAATTTTAAAATGAGTCAAATTGAAGTGTGGCCCTTCTTGCTAATTGTGGAGTTGTCACCTTTACCTCTGATAGCAGCTTTGTGACAATTAGAATTTCAATTAAATCCTGTAGAGGATTTTAAATTTTAATGACAATTAAATCCTGTAGAGGATTTAAAAGAACTCTGGTTATATGGGTTCTCCAGCAAATGACTGGAGACCAGGAGTCTGAAAGTGATTTTAGAAATTCCAAATGAATTTTTAGAAACAACTAGGTTTTAATTAACTTAGCTACCACAGCAGAATTTATTACTGTAGCCTTTATAACAGAATAATTGATAAGTTAGGATTTTGGTCTTTGACTTTTATTTTAATCTTTAATATTCTTGACTCTCACAAGATGATAAATGATTTTAGATTTAGATTGTAAACAATATAAAATAATAGCTTTTCAAGTCAAAATCTCTTCTATTTGGCTACTGAAGCAGGGCAGAGATCATGTGTAAGAAAGATCGTGTGTTTTGGTTGTAGGGGAGTTAATATTCAAGTTTTTAAAAGCTGGTGCAAGTAAGCATCCAACTATTGAAGAATCACTACTCAAAATTGAAAATGGTCATGTCAGCGTCATAGTTTTTGTGCTGGATTTTTTTGTTTCAAATTATTCCTCTCAGAAGAGAGGGAAAAAATGGTGTAGATGATACAGGCTCTGTCCATGCCTCTGGCAACCAAACTTGTGATGGAAACAAGGAACAGCAGCAAGGAAAAATCGCTTGGGATCTAGGTGAACAAGCCACACAACTAAGGAGAAATCTAAGAAAGCACCCTGTAACTGCAGAAGGTAGGATGGGGTGAGGATATGGGGCCACCTGGTCTTGAGTGGCTGAGACATAGATGGAGGCAGCGGCAGTGACAGCCGCCTCTTAAAGTGACTGCATCCGTGAGCAGATTTTCACAGTCACGGACCTGCTCGCTCTGAGCACCGGTGCCAATTCAGCTGCGCGCAAGGGGCACCAGGGACTTACAGGGAGTCATTGTCGGAGTGAGGGCCCAGGCGAGACTCGCTCTTTACAGAAGTGCCAGCGGTATCCATTGTCCCCTGTTGAGCCCTCCCCTCTCCCAGTGCAGGGCCATAGCTCCACCATAGCCATGATGTCATCAAACTGGATAACAGAGGTCGCTCTGCCCAGAAGATTCCCTGAAACCCCGCCTCCCCCAATTTGCAGCCCCACCCAAGCCACATCCAGGTGTATCCTCAGCGAGTCAGGTGCTCCTTGCTGAGACTCACACTGGAGGCAGCCTCAGTTTCTGGTGTGGCCTTTTGAGGCATCTATAAGCACAGCATCTGTGGATTGCTTGCTGAATCTTAACAGGTGGCCTCGGAAGAGTAGAGACATGGGCTAATTTTGGCCTGCAGCTGAACCCCTCTCAGGACTGTGCCACTGGACACCTACTTCATAAATCCACACAAATAAGACTGGGAGACTTAGGAGCTTTGCGTGGTACATAGAAACAGACTAGGAAAGGCAGCCAAAGTGGGAAGACAAAGAAGCAGAAACCATATTAGAGAACAGAATAGAGATCCAAATATAATGGAGTCAAGTAATCTACCAGATGCAGAGTTCAAAAGTTCCTAAAGACGCTTAATGAACTTTTGGGAAGTGTAGATAAATTCAGTGAGAACCTCAACAAAGAGATAAAAAACAAAAATGAAAATGGAAATTATAAAAGGGAACCAGTCTGAAATGAAGAATACATTGTCTGAGATGAGAAGTATATTAAATGGAATAAACAAAGGAATAAGCAAAGTGAATAAAGAAGAAGATCAAATGCCCTATCTAGAGGACAGGAAAGCCAATCAGGACATTCAATCAGAATGGCAAGAAAAAAGATGCCAAGACTATAAAAATAATTTAAGGAGGCTATGGGACACTATTAAAGCTCGAATATTGGTCTGATCAGCGTACCTGAAGGAAATAAAGATGTTGAACAGCTGTTTGAAGAAATGGTAAAAAACTTCCTTAACCTGGTGAAGGAAATAGACATTAAATCCCAGGAAGCTCAGAGAATTCCAGAATCAGGGATCCAAAGAGGCCCATACGAAGACACATCATAATTAAAATGCCAAAGGTTAAATACAAAGAAAGAATATTAAAAACAGCAAGAGAAAAGCAAATAATTACATATAAGGGAAAACACATAAGACTGGCAGCTAATTTCGCAAAAGAAACTATGCAGGGCAGAAGGGGTGGCAAAAAATATTCGACAGGATAAAGACCCAGGATATACAACCAAGAATAATTTATCCAGCAAAGCTGTCACTTAGAGTTGAAGGACAGATAAAGAGCTTCCCGGACAAAAATAAGCTAAAGGAATTTATCACCACCAAGCCAGTATTACAGGAAATGTTGGAGGGAAAGAAGAAAAAAAAACATGTATCAAAAACATGAATTAAGAATGGTAATAACTACATTCCTATCAATAAGTACCTTAAATGGAAAAGAATTAAGTGCTCCAACCAAAAGGTAGAGTGGCTGAAAGGATAAGAAAACAATATGAAAAGGAAGGGGATGGAAAAAGATATTGTTTTGATGGACCTAGAAGGTAAATTTAAGTCAGACAGTGAAAGATAAACATTATATGATTTCGCTTATATGTGGAATCTAAGGAATAGGAACAAACTAATCAAACACAGACTCACAAATATAGTGGACAATTTGGTGTCGGACAGAGGGCAGGGAGGTTTGGGGGGCTGGGAGAATGGGGTGAAGGGCTAAAGAAGTACAAATTAATAGCACAAATTAGGAGCTTATGGTCACAGGGATGGGGAGCATGGCATAGGGAATGCAGTTAGCATTAATACACTGGCTAGGTGGAGGGTTGGGGAGGGAGGGTGCAATAGTGGGGATCATTTTATGAACTATATAGATGTCTAACTAATGTACTATATACTTTAAATAAATAAAAAAATTATTGCTCTCATGTCTTTATTGCCTCTCTCTGTTATTCCACATATAAAAGAAACTTATTTAAGGTGACCTATCCACCAACAAAGAGAAAAGATCCAGCCTGACACAAAATAACCTATGGTAGGAATCTAACATATAAAATGCAACAAATGAGTGCAATATATGACTTTCAAAAAAAAATCCTGAAGTTTTGATAGACTTATTTTGGTGTTTGTAGAAGAAGGTGCCTGTGTGTGTGTGTGTGTGCGCGCGCGCGCACAAATACATGCTCATGTGTGTTTAAAACTGGTGGATATTTCTTAAAATTACAAATTGTACCAGATTTGAATTTAACTTTACTAGAATTAGAATGCCTATTCGTTAATAGGATAACAACACCCTTTTGTAAATTATTACTCTTCTAAAGAATAGAGGTTATCTGTTTCACAGATGAGGAAACTGAAGCATTTCAAGGACTTGGTAATTTGGACCAAAGACCATTACACTTTAAAACTCATGCATTTTTCTTGTTACCAAGCTATCTAGTGGATTAACTATTGTTTAATATCCACTTTACCATTTAGAAAATTAAGATGTTTATAACGTGGTTATCTTTTTATTTTATTTAGAAACTTGTTTGGAGGTTATGGATGATAAGCCCAGTCCTGGAACCCTAAATGAGAATTCAGAATTTCTCTTCTCCTTTGGAGTTATAGCAGATATTCAATATGCTAATTTAGAAGATGGCTATAATTACCAAGGAAACAGACGGAGATACTACAGACATAGTCTTCTTCACTTACAGGGTGCTATTGAACACTGGAATAAAGAACGCATCCTACCCTGTTGTGTACTTCAGCTTGGAGATATCATCGATGGATATAATGCACAGTATAAAGCATCAGAAAAGTCACTAGAACTTGTTATGAACGTGTTTCAAATGCTTAAAGTCCCAGTTCATCATACGTGGGGAAATCATGAATTCTATAACTTCAGCAGAGACTATTTAACGAACTCTAAACTGAACACAAAGTATCTAGAAGACCAGATTGTACATCATCCTGAGACTGTGACTTCAGGGAATTACTATGCTTATCATTTTGTACCATTCCCTAAATTCCGGTTCATTTTACTCGATGCTTATGACTTGAGTGTCTTGGGCGTGGATCAGTCTTCTCCAAAATACCAGCAGTGTCTGAAGATGCTGAGGGAGCACAATCCAAATTTGGAATTGAATAGTCCTCAAGGTGAATTATTCCTTTGAGCTGAGAATCTAATACATTGTCTTTAAATTCTTCAGCTACCTTTTATTCAGCCGGAAGATGGATGATTAAGGTAAAAGTATATTGTCGCTGTTGTTCAGGGTCAGGATTTCTCACAAGCTTCATGGCACATGGATTGGTTGCACTTGGTTCAAGATGTATTTAACAAATATCTGAATGCTTATTCTGGGCCAAGGACTTTCTCTAGAGCTTAGCTATTCAGAACTGTAAGAATACTGACAGTATCACCTTTTTTATGGATAGAGTGGAGGGAACAAGAAAGGTGGATGGGCAGGACAGATGATAAACAGGATTATTTCTACCATGATAAGTACTACCAAGAAAATAAAGTATAATAATAGAGAAGGACTAGGGGGACTATTTTGGTTTAGGTTGTCACAGACAGCCTCTCCAAGGAGAAAAACATTTAAGCTGAGCCCTAAATGAAGGAGTCATCCTTGGGAAGAGTATTTGAGACAGAGGGAAAAACAAATGCAAAGGCACTAAGCTGCATTCTTGAACGCAGAAAAGGGCTAGTGTGGTGCCGGACGATTTTGAAGTAGCTCAGTGAACACAGTAAAGAATCTTTTATTTTCAGTGTAACGGGAAGCTAGTGAAATAAGCAGAGGAGTGTCAAGACTAGGAGTAAGGTACAATATGATTTATTTGTATATTGCTCTAAATTCTTTTGGTTTCCTGTTTTAAGTCAATTACTGTCAAATGTTCCTAAAGAAAAGTACAAGTGTCCCATGTTAGCTAAGTTCGAATGCCCTGATAAGGACAGAAAAAATTATATTTGACGGATCTAACTTACAGAATTCATTTTAGGACTTTCTGAGCCTCAGTTTGTCCAGTTTAATGGAGGATTCAGCCAAGAACAGCTGAACTGGTTGAATGAAGTCCTTACATTCTCTGACACAAACCAAGAAAAGGTGGTAATAGTGAGTAAGTATTTAAATGATTTGTTTACACTTGCATTTATTTATTTGTTTATATTAAACATCTGTATTTTAGAGAATAGGAAAAGTTAGATTTTAAAGCATATTAACAAAATATTGTGATATCTTTCTATAAAATGAATGCCTAGTTGAAATGTTATTGACAAATGATCTGAATATAAGATTAACAGTTAAGGTTGAGGAAAGAATTATAAAATAACAAAATGTCTTGCCAAATATTAGAGTCTGTGAGTTGACCTTTTAGGTTTCAGAGTAGAATTTCCCCAAATGGGATCAATTTACATAGTAATATTTAAATGAAAAATTCAGTCCAGGCTCCCCATACCAAACCTCAGCCTTAGTGCAGTGGCCACCAAGTAAAGGCCATATAACAGTCACGAGTGTTAGAGACACAACTGGCAGTGAGCACTTATGGTATTAGTATTTTCATTTAGAATCACTTTTGACAGACATGCTGCCATCAGAGATTGTAGGATTCTGGAGATGCTTAAATACACTCAGATGTGCATGTATACACAAAGAACTGAATTTGGATTTGCATTGTAGCTGATGTACTTGGATTAGGGGCTGAGATTAGATCCCTTATTTGAGGGATCTAATTAATGGGGCATAATGGTTGAGAAGACTGGACTGAGGGTCACAAGGATGGAATGCCATTCTGGTTCTTTTTTCTTTGAGCTGTGTGAGCAAATGTCTAACCTGCAAATTGAAATTTTCTCAATATTGCATCAAGTGAAAAATTGTGAACATGAAAACTCTGAAAATGATAGGCTATTCAGATAGTTGACTATAATCTACTGATGTAGTAAAAACAAGTAGATGGAGTAGGGGTGTTTCCACTACCATTAGTATATCAAATGTCATTCACAGTTTGGAAAATATAAGGTACTCTCAAGAATTATTGGCATGATGTGATAGTATTTTGGCTTTACAAAAAGTGGTCTGAAAAACTAGGATACTTTTTGACTTTTCTCAGCTTTTTAGTTTTCCAGTACCAAGGGTCATAAAGTCAAATCTTCTAATTTTAAAGATAAAGAAACTGAACCAAAAGAGTTTACACTACACAGCTAAAATCATACAACTGTCAGCTACTGACAGCTAGAGTCCATGTTTTATGCCCCAATCCCCTTTCCCAGTCTATCCTGTATTTTTCCCATTTCTTTTGCTTATGTCAGTGCACTTCTTTACATTCTCTACTCCTCTAAATTTAAGCAGTCTCTTTAAATTTTTCACTTTTCTGTTAGCTTAGAAACTGATTGAACAAACCTTTAACAACTGAGTGACTTAGATTTTCTTTAGCAAAGTTTAAAATGGCTAATAGAAATTTTCTTTTGTTTTTGTTTGCTTTGGCACTTTCCTTTTGCTACTCAGATGTCATTTTGTCTAATTCTCATCAAGCCATTAGTTGTAGACAGAGAAGTGAAACCCAAGACCCAACCATTCAGACGCTTCTAATAAGACACTGTGGAAATGAGGAATCAGCAAAGGAGAATGAAAATTATTATCCATTGAGGTTGGAGAAAAACTAGGAGGACTGGTGGTATCCTGGAAGTCACATATTTCAAGAAGGGAGCAACTAACTACTTGTATCCAGTGCTGCAGTGATTTGATAGATGAGTCCAGTATGGCATATAAGAGATCTGGAAAGTTACATAGCTACTTTGGACTCTTAGCCCTATCACAGCTTGAAGAGTGACTGTCTGTGTGTGGGTATGCATGTGTGTGCGTGTGCACGTGCATGCAAGGGTGCACTCTGTTAGCCCCTCTCTTTTTTTACTTGTAATACAAATAGATACTAAGCAGAATAAAAATAAACAGTAACAGAAAGAAAAAAGGAAAGTAACTTGACTGGAAGAAGAAGAAAAGACCAGTGAGCTATTGTACTTATACTTCAGAGTGAAAGTGTGGCCTGATATATATCTTGGCATCAGGAATTCGAAATTCTTCCGGCTCTACTTTCACATATCTCCTACGGGACCTAATATGAATAATCCCCACTTTAATAACTCAGTGTTCTTATCTGTAAAATGGCTATGGCTTCTTTGATCTCCTGAAGGTGTTTAAAGTGTCATAAATCAGTTCTTAATAAAACCTTGAGTGTTTATAAAAAAACGATATAAAATCTACTGGCCTGTCCCTAAACTGTTGTTTTATTTAAGAGTATCTCTCTGTGTGTATATAACACTCATACCTAAGGAAATCAGTGAGACCTGATTCCAGCACAGCACCTGCCTGATATCCGGCCACCTTGGCAAACTGCCCTGCACAGGATGCCCTCGGTGTCCCTTGATATTTGTACATCTTGAGACTCTGTAGGGCCATAGAGATCTCAGGGTTCCTGCCTCTACTGTGGCCTCTCTCCCCTTGTGTGTGAACTGTCTTACCCTTCTTTATACCCCAGAGACGTGGGTGTAGATTACCTAGTTCTTCATGTATGTGGATTTTTGCTGGTCTCAATCCATATGAAGTAGCGATATACAATTTTTTTTCTGAGTACTAGTTTTTAGCCATTTATTTTGGTGAAAGAAATATTTCCTAATTGGTTCATAACTCTTCCTCTCTTTAACAGGCCATCTTCCCATTTATCCAGAGGCCTCTGACAGTGTGTGCCTGGCCTGGAATTACAGAGACGCCCTCACAGTCATATGGGCTCATGAGTGTGTGGTGTGTTTCTTTGCTGGTCACACTCACGATGGTGGCTACTCTGAGGATCCTTTTGGTGTGCACCACATCAATCTAGAAGGGGTTATTGAAACAGCTCCGGACAGCCAGGCTTTTGGCACAGTGTATGTCTATCCTGACAAAATGATGTTGAAAGGGAGAGGCAGAGTTCCAGACAGAATTATGAATTACAAGAAGGAAAAAGCTTTCCATTTTTAGTCTGATTTATTTTATCTTTATATAAAGAGGATGATTTAGCCTTGTTTTGTTCCCCTACCTCACCCCCAAATCCTCAGTCTCATTGCGTAGTATTGTAATTGCATAACAAAATATATTTATGGCTTCAGTGTGTGTTGGCTTATAAGACATTCTGAAATGTCATTTTCGTATAATATATCCAATGCTGAAAATTGGAAAGAAAATTAATGAAAGTGGCATGAATAAGCCAGAGAGGAGACTGAAGGGGCATGGGGCTGAGGGGAGGGGAATATAGTCCTTAAAACTTTATTTTAGCCTTACCTGTTTTTTTTTTTTTTTTTTTGGTTTGGTTTGGTTTTGTTTTTTTTACTTTTTACAAGGAAAATATGTTTATGTATTAGCTATGTAAAATTGCTCAAAATTCATAGTAAAAAAATAAGCTTAGGTAAAACTTTTCCTTATTACTCTGTGTGAATGAGCTTTGGACTTTTTTTGCTTAGAATATCCATCATATTGTACTTTTATAGATTTGTGTTCCTATTTTGTAAACAAACCAAAAATAATCAAGTTACTTCACACGTGAATGAATGGTGTTCCCATTCACACAGGTGAATATGTATCCTCCCATGTGAGGCTGTAAGAAGGGCCTTCAAAGAAGTTATATGGTCCTCTTGTGATTCCAACTAAAGCAGGATCAAGTGCAAGAGCAGCTGTGTGCCTGCTAATGTGGTCTGTTTGGGCCACCAGCTAGTGCTGCATGAATTTACCCTTGATTCCCTTTATAGATGAATGGGACATGTTTAACTCAGTTGTCATATATGCTGGCTTATTTGCAGAAACACTTACTAGATGGCAAATGGGGCTGTTTAAGTGCAGAGAAAGGTTGATTCGGGGCTTAAAAAAACAGTACGAGATAAAAAACCAATACTAGTCAACATGAGTGTGCCCACAGAGTACCTACTCACTATAGGGGTGTACAAGTACATTTTCTGTGGCTGCTGTAACAAATTACCACAAACTTAGTGGCTTTAATAACATATTTGTTCTGTTATAGTTCTGGAGGTCAGAATTCTGAAATTATTTTCGCTAGGTTAAGATCAAGATATCAGGGCCATGCTCCCTCAAGGAGATCTAGGGGAGACTATTTCCTTGCCTTTTCCAGCTTCTAGAGCTACATTTCTTGCATTTCTTGGCTTAAGGCCCCCTTCTTTCATCTTCAAAGCCAGCAAGGTAGCATTTTCAAATCCCTTTCTGCTTTGTTGTCATATCACCTCCTCTTCTATATAGTCAAGTCTCTCTGCCTCCCTCTTATAATTGTGATTACACTGAAGGCCCACCCAGATAATCCAGGATAATGTCATCTCAAAATCCTTAACTCGATCACATCTGCAAAATTCATTTTGTTATATAACACTCATAGGTTCTGGGGATTAGGGCCTGGATATCTTTGAGGGCCATTATACATCCTGCCACAGAGGTGACTGTAATGTGCTCCCCGCATTCACCAACTTAATGATGAATGAGACATCCCTAGATACAAATGTGTGAAGAATGGACCGTAGGAATGTGGAGCAGGAGTAAAGTTTTGTGTTTTCTGTTTGCCCCGAGAATACTCGCTGGTGACGTTTGCGCCTGCCATTTACCCTGAGATAACTCATGGATTATAGTCTTAACCTTACCCCCGAAGTTTGCCACAAAATATCTCGCTTTTATTATTATTTTCGCATTGCTCTAGTGTATCAGTAGTCTTTAGAAACAAATAACATCATTCTATTTATAGCATTCTGTTTTTAGTGGTATTTCCATTTACAAAATATAGTAATTCTTAATTGTTGAAAATGTCAAATCCTAGAAAATGTGTTCCTATGTATGATGTTAACATCGTTCTCTAACAGTTGTTAGCTAAAGATTCATTTGATGAATCCTATTTATGTATACATTTCTGTTACATTAAGATTAGAGACAAGTTCTGTTTAAAAATAAATCCAAAAGCAGTTTTTATATTTTATTTTTACATTAAAAAACAGTCAGATTTGCTTCAGCCTCAAAGAGTGTGTTTATGTTAAATTAACGCTGGCAGCAAGCTGCACTTTTTTTATTTAAACAGGAAATGGGTTAAGAATGACTTGAAGAAGGAAAAAAGTGGTTTAAATTGGTGTGGAAGTACATTTCAAGTAGACAGACTAGTATAAGCACTAGCATTGAAGGATATGCTGTGTTTAGGAGAGGCAAGTAGTGCTATGAGGATTCACCAAAAGGTACTGGGGATATGGCAAGAAATAAAGCAGGAAAGGGATAGGCTAGGGCTATGTGGAGAAGAGCCTTGAAAGGCATGCCCAGAGTTAGAATTTAACTTGTTATACAGTGAGTAACCTTCAGGTTTCTGAGCTGGGTGATAGATGGCTAGATATGTGTTTCGGTCAGGCAGTAGATAATGAGAGGCTGATGTAGAATAGTGACAATGGGAAGAAAAAAGGTCCAAACACAGGTTCTGATAATAGAAATATTAAACTTAGTACTTAAATTCAATTGAAAAATAGTTTAAAAGCAATTTCAGCAATACTGTTTTCTAAAGGCAGCACTCCACCAAAAGTTGGTTCCTTTTGTATACTTATAGAGATTTAAAAGGAACTATGTATTCACAGAATTGACAGTGTGGTATGGGAGATGCAGATATGATGAAAGTGTATCTTGAACATAACTTTTTTAAAAATTGGAACATTACTGTCTTTGAAGCACAGAATCAAGCATTACTTGGAGGATGGGTAGGTCCTATATATAATTTGCCAATAAATCCATTTCTTCATGTATGGCTTTAATAGTTATACTAAAAGAGGTATAAAAGCCATAAATAACATGCAAATTAAATGTACACTGGAACACTGAAATCCTTTATGTTACTGACCTTTAAAGTAAATTTCACTTTAATTGCTTTAATATCAGATTTTTTTCCTTTTACCGTATCTAAATCTTAATAAAGAATTTGACTGTCCAGTGGCCATTGTGTAAAACAAAACACATGCATACCTCCTTTAACAAACATTTTTAGGATACTTAATATTGTATTAAAGGCTATAAAAATGGAGAGACCAACTACCGGGTTCATTTTTCACTATCCTGACATAAGATTGGTGCTAATACTTTATAGTGAAATAGTTCCTAAATCTCACGGGACAGTGTCTTGACTACAGAGTTTGATACTAGCCTGTGTAAAAAGTTGCCATCCAGATGCTCTAAAACAGCACTAAGCAACAAATAAAATGCAAGCCGCCTAAGTAAAATATTTTAGCAGTCATATTTAAAAAAGTAAATAGAAACAAAATGAACTTTAATAATGTATTTTATTTACCTCAGTATATCTAAAATATTTCAATGTGTAATCAGTATAAAAATTAATTCTTTTTTATACTATGTCTTTAAAATCTAGTGTGTATTTTTGTACTTATAATCCATTCATTTGAACACTGATTTCATTTGAAATATGTGATCTGTATTTAGATATAAAATTTGCAGTTGAAGTAGATTCATGTACCCAAGTTGTTCCAAACACACTTAAAATAAGCATTCTAAGAGTTCCAGACACTCTTAAGTTTTCTAATAACTAAGTTGATATGTTTTTAAATTTAAAAAAATGAAAACTTCTTTGCTCTAGCCCCATTTCAAGTGCTCCGTGCAACATATGGCTAGTGGCTACTGTATTGGAGAGTACAGCTCGAAAGTGGTCTCCCCGGGTCTTCATTAAAAAAATGTATAGACTTTGGTCTTTCTTTTTTTTTTTTCATTTACAATGTAATTAATATTCCCTATTTCCTTTTTGGTTCCAAATTCCTTTATTCTGTCTTTCTTTCCAAAACATGCTTGTTCATTTGGTTCATCTGAAGTCCTCATTTAGTTCATGGCATTATACCAGTTAAATATAATGAGATTAGTTCAGGGGTACGGCCCTCTCTTAAACCTTTATTTCTATGTAATTAACCAAACCCTGTTTCCCTCTATTTTAATCATGTGCAACTCTGTAAGCAATTTGTATTTTCAGAGTGTGCTCATATTATCTAGTTTAATCCTTGCAACTGTATAAGTAAGTAGAAGATTTAGTATTAATCCTATTTTATAGATAAGGAAATGTCCACTAGGACGTTTTTTATATTTGTTCAAGTCACATAGATAGCGAGAAAGCTGAGTTAGAATTCATACTTCTTAACTTTTTTTCCACTGCCTTTTCTCTACATTATGACACAATAGAATGTCAGACCCCATCACTTATGAGTTGCATCCAATCCTACGTTGTATTGTAGGCAGCCTTAAAAAGTTCTTAGGATTAAAAAAAAAAAACTATGTTTATAAAAAAATTTAAATTCTCATTTTAAGATCAGGATTATTCACTTGATTTAAATGACCGTCTTGCAGTGAGTTGGCCAGGAGGACCGCATCTCCTTGTTTGTATATATGTAGACCCACGAGATAAACGGGAAGAGAGCAATTAAAATGGCAGTAGCCAACTGAATTCTTCCACCAACTGGATTCCTATAAAGACACAAAAATTATAAATAAAAATCCAATAAAAATTATAGATTGCTTTGGAAACAAGTATAAGGATAGAATTTGGCAAAATGCATTTACATTTTTGTATGATCCTTTTTTCTTAATTTTGGAATTGAAATATAACAATGATCTGTATGAATTCTTTATATGTTCTTAACGCAAATATTTGTTTACATGTGTTGCAAATAGCTTTTTCCACTCTGATGTCTTTTGAGGAACTGAAATCATTGACTAAACAATGGTAAAATTGATCTTTTCATAATGATTTTTGTGTCCTGTTTAACTTTCCTTCCCCAAGATCTTGAAAATATTGTTACTTTTTCTAAAAGTTTTGTTTTGCTTTCACATTAGATCTGTAATCCATCTGTTGATTTTTATGAAAGTTATAACGTAGAGGTTGTTGTGCTTTTTTTTTCCATATAGATAGTCAGTTATTCTAGCACTATTTAGTAAAAAGACTGCCTGTCTTTGGTACTCTGCAGTGCCACTATTGTCATAAGTCAAGGGTCTCTGTATACATGGATCTGTTTCTAGACTCTATTTTGTTCATTAGTTTATCCTTTTGCCAGTATAAGTTTAGCCTATACTGCCATAGGATAATTACTTAGGTCTTCTTTATTTTAATATTTAGGTCAACTTTAATTTCTCTCATAATGTTTTATAATTTTGCGTGTAGATATTTTACATATCTCTGTTAGATTTATTTCTAGGGAGTTGATTTTTTTATGTTATCAAAAGTGGTAACTTTGTTATTCTGTTATTTGCTGATAAAAGTGCAGTTGATTTTAGTATATTGACCTAGTATCTAGCAATCATGTTAAACTCACTTATTCAAATAACTTTAGATTCTTTTTGATTTTTATGTATGTAGTCATATCACCCATGAATAAAGAAAATTTAATTTTTCCTTTCCAATCCTTAGGGCTTTCATTTCCTTTTCTTGCCTTATTTTACTGGCTAGGATAATAGCTAAAGCAATGTTGAGTAGGAGTGTCAATTGTGGCTAACCTCATCTCATTCCTGATCTCAGAGGGAAAGTTTCAACTGATCACTACTAAGTATCATACTTTGGCATAGATATGCTTTATCAGGTTACATTCCCTTGTACGCCTATTTTCTAAAAGCTTTTATCATGAATGGATGTTGAATTTTATCAAATGCTCTTTTTATATAGATTGAGGAGATAGTTTATTTTCTTCTTTTATTTTGTTAATGTGGTGGAAAACATTGATTGGTTTTTGAACATTAAACTAACTGTATTCCTAGAATAAACGCAACTTGGTTGTTGGGTTATATATTTCATGATTCGATTTGCTAAAATGTTTAGTGTTTTTCCATCTGTGGTCATAAGTGAGACTGCCATATAATTTCCTTTTGCTTTTTTGTAATGGTCTTGTCAAGTGTTGATATCAAGGATTTTCTGCCCTAATAAAATGAATTGGAAAGTGTTTCTTTTTCTGTTCTCTAGAAGAATTTGTTGAAGGTTGGCATTATTTCTTCCTTAAGTGTTAGGTAGAATTTTCCAGTTATGCCATGTGGTCCAGGGTTATTTTTTAGGAAATTTAAATTATGGACTAAATTCCTTTGCTATTTATGGGACTTCTGAGTATATCTTGTGTCAGTTTTGAGAAATTGTATTTTTCAAAGAATTTGTCCATTTTGTCTATATTTTCAAATGTACTGGCAAAAGTTGTTCATAATATCTTGTGTTTATTTGTTTTTTTCTTTGGTTTTAATTTGCTGCTCTTTTCCTAACTTCTTAAATTAGAGAATTCCTAATTTCTTGGAAGCTTACCTCATTGATTTTCAGCCTTTTTTTTTTTTAACATACATATTTAAGGTATAAATTTCTCTCTAAGCGTGATTTTTAGCTTTATTCCACAAATTTTAATATGTAGTACTCTTCCTATCATTCAGTTCAAAAATATTTTCTAATTTCCATTGTGATTTCTTCTTTTATCCAAATGTTATTTGGAAGTTTCCTAATTTCTAAATATTCAGTGATTGTCTATTATTTTTGTTATTTTTTTCTATTTTAATTGCACTATGGTCAAAGATCATTCTGTGAAATGTGTTGGGACTTATTTCATGGCCCACCATACAGTCATTTTGTAAATATTCAAAGTGTACTTGAAAAGAATGTGAATTCTGCCATTCTTGGTGATGGTGTTCTGTACATATCCATTAGGTTAAGTTTCTTATTGTGTAGCTCAAATCTATATCTTTGTTTTTATTTTTAAATTTGTTTTTCATTTCATTAATGACAAAGAAATCTTTCAGAGTCTCCCAAGGTGATTGTAAATTTTTCAGTTTTTCTTTTTAGTTCTGCCAATTTTTGTTTTATCTATTTTGAGGCTATGCTTTTAGTTACATACAGATTTAGAATTATTATCATTCTGCTATAATGATTTATTGTACCTTCCTGACTTAATGAACCTTTGGTCATTAAAAAATGTCTTTCTTGCATCTTAAATCCGCTTTTTAAGTGGTATTGAGATCACCAGATAGCCAAAAGGAAAAAAAATACTGGTATAACATTCTTTATACCACTACACTAGGATAAATTCTAAATAGAACAAAGATTTAAGTGTAAAAATGAAACCATACATGCATTAGAAGAAAACTTACTCTACAACCTGAGAGGAAGGAAAGATTTCCTATAATTCCAAATCCAGAAGCAACAAGGGAAAGGACTGATAAATTTGGTTACATTAAAACAGACACACGCATTTTTATGGCAAAGTGAAGTAAACTTCGCGTAAGCAAAGTAAAAGGACAATAAAAAACTGCAAAATAAATTTTTTTGGCTTATGTCACGAAGTGTGAATACCTGTAGTATATAAAGAGTGTCTAAAAATATAGAAAACTAACAACTTTAGAAACAGGTTAAACCTATATCGCTCAGTGATGAACCAGTATTTTATAGAAAAAAGAAATGCATACACCTCTAAATCACCTTTACTCCTAATAAGAAAAATGCAAATTAAACTACCCATTTCTCAACTGTCCGATTAGTTGTCAAAATTCAAAATTTTGACAACGTTGTCTGTTGGCGTTATATTTAATAGCAAAAGACTGGATACAATCTAAACAATGGTGGACTAGATGAATATACTATGGACCTATCAGCAGAATAAGGAAAGTATATACTACAGAATGAGTTCCAGAACGTGATAAGGGAAAAATCAAGGAGAATACAAATGTGTATAATATGCTACCACTTATCTAAGACAAGAGGGACTACAAATAAATACACTTATTTGCTTCATTAAGAAACCATGGAAGGATAAACCATAAAATTGCAATAAGTTTCACCTATGGAGAATGGGAGGCTACAGAGTTAGGAGATAAGCTAGAGTTCTTTGAATATACTTTGTTTTGTAGATTCGACTTTTGGACTATGTAGATATTTTACATAAATATATTTTTAAAAAGTGATCCCTAGAAATTGAAAGTAAAATTAAATAAATTAACTGTGTAGTAATTCACTTGCTAGCAATAGCACATAGAGTAACCATCTCAAGTAATTTGAATATATATCCCTTAGCTTAGAGGGATGTTCTCTAACAACAAAAAAACAAAAAGCCGAGGTGCCAGTCAAGATGGCCTAGGTAAAACCGGGGTTCGCCTCTTTTTAGGACTGCATTAAAATTACAACCAAATTATAATCAACGTGGAGAATCACCAGAAGTTCAGCTGATCATAACACATTTGTCTGATGATATAAAGGAGCCACATTGAAGCCTGTAGGAGGGGCAAGTCATGAATCAGGCAGAGCTGGCACCTGTGGGAGGCAGTGGAGCACCAGGAGGGAGAGCATGGCTGCAGAGGCTCCCTGAAGGAGAGAGGGGGTCCTAGCGGCATATGGGGACTCCCCAGGCCAGAGGTGATAAGTTTTCAAAAAATCTGACTAAAAATCGGGGATTCTGGCAGTCCAGGTGAGATGGAATCCAAGATGCCTCTTTAAATGGCCCATGCACAGACTCTCACCTACGGACACATACCCTGGGCACTGGTGGAGGGATGGAGGCTGAGGCAAGAGTCACGTGGAGAAAGACTACATTACATGGTACTGGAGCGAGGGCTGGATCCCCACACGGCCAAGTCTGAAGCTGCACTGGCCCAGGGAGATAAGCCCGCCCTATCCAACTCACAGATTGCCCAGGGTGGCTTGTCATGGGGCAGCTGCCCCCACCCTGCCCTTTTCTGGGGCCTAACATTCAGCACAGGCATCAGACTTCAGCCAGGGCTGTGAGTGCATTTTGGGGAAAACAGTTTCGGGTGGATTACTGCTGCCAACCCAGGCTTGGGTGGATTGCAGGGGTCCGTGGGCCCACCCCAGACAGAAGCTGGTCTCATGATCCGTGACTACTGTGGGAACTCGCGGATATAGAACTTGCAGCAAAACAGGCTGTATTGGCCCAATGGCCCATGTTTCCCTGAGTTTCCACTCTACCCAATCCACAAATTGCCCCCTGCGGCCCATAGCCATGCAGCCACCCTGCCTCTTTCTGGGGTTGAGCATTTCATGTAGGCAATAGACCTTGGCCAGCGCAGTGTGCAAATTTCTGGGAAAACTGGTAGGCGGATTGCTACTGCCAGCATGAGATACAATATTGCTTGAGTGGACTGTGGGAGTCTATGGGCCCAACCAGATGGCAGTGGGTCTCGTAGTGATCTGTGACTTATGTGGGAGCCTACGGACCCAGAACTGGTAGCAAATCTGGTACTGTATAGGCCTAATGGCCCTGTGTCTCTGAGACACCATTCCACCCAACCTACAAATTACCTGTGGCAAGCCTGTCCCCAGGCAACCCAGTCCCATCCTGTGCTTTCCTTAGGACACAAATTCAACAGCAAACAACAGCAGTCAGTATACGGCCCACACAAAGCCTATGCATCCCAGGAGAGACAACTGTAGTGGGCCACAAACCCCTGCCCACGAGTTTCAGTAATTCTTGAACTGATCTCAGGTGTTTGTA